AATTAAGCTCTTGTTACGTAACACGTAGACCGAGTTTCGTATGGAAAGAAGGAGCGGTGCTTTTAAAATAAAATTTTTCACATACAACACCTAGACGGCATTCCAGAAAGTTCAGAAGGCAGCCACGTGACCAAATATTTTTCCTCTCCTAAATATTCCAGAAGTTCACTATTTTCAATGCAGCACGAGTTTTTCGAATACATTTGAGATGGTTGCCAAAATGGCCGGGACATTTGGCATAAAGTGACCCAGCTGTGTCATTAGCCATAACTATGCATTACCTCTTTTGTTTTTTGTGTGTTCTGACTCAGTTTTGTGTTTGTTTTTAGCATATTGTGTTTCTGATCATTGTATTGGTTTCTTAAGTATTCGCTAAAGTTATATGTGCGAAAACCCGTATATGTTTGCATGTACATCATTTCTCATAACCAATTGTTATACATCCAGGAATACAAAGCTTAAACCACTGTGATTGTATACATTTGAAAACACTGTCCATATATATTTTTGTGTGCATCACTTCTTGGGAACGATTGTGTACATGAAGGCGTATATAGTGAAATCATTGTGATTGTATATATTTGAAAGAATCGTAAGTATATATTTGCCTGTATTTCATTCCTATTAACCGATTGTGTACATGAAGGAGTATTAAACTGAAAACCACTGGGATTGTAGATACTTGAAAGAATTATAGGGATATATTAGCGTGTATTTCATTTGTTGTCTCTATGTACTTGAAGCAGTATACTAAACTGAAACTAGTGTAATTGTATGTTGCAAAGAATTGTCAATAAAGTGAAACTGAAAAAATATAATAAACATTTGAGGTGTTGCATGTGTAGTGTACGTATACATGAACGTATATCTGGTGAAAAAGTTGTGTGGCAGAAGAAAAGTTTATGTTTTATTTGCCTATTAAATAAACGCAATATGCAAGGGCAGCAAGGCTTCATTTTCTGTAACGCGCATTATGCATATACACTGAAGTATATATAGATCCAGCACAAGTTCATACACGATTGTACGCGTTTATATTTTTGCCCACACGCAATGAATGGAGCTCGACAGGTGGTGCACCATCGATAATCAGGACCACTTTCTTCAAGTAGTGTTTAATCAGTGCATGCTGACATCTATTGGTGGCACTCAACACCCTTGTGCACCCTTCTCGCACCCTCCTCAGAGGGTGCTAAAAAAGTGATGGACATCGAAGGCACCCTTCCTTAGGGGTGTTTTTTTAACACCCTACAGTTTTTTTACATGTACACCCTATTCTAAGGGTGCATGGTAAAGCACCCTTTTTGGAAGGTGCTGAATTAACACCCTTAGGGTGTCGTCCACGGGACAAGCTCATTTACACCCTTCTGGGTGTAAAAATTTTTACTGTGTAAGATCATTCGCACGATTACCCATGCAAGATAGTGAGAACTGGTCGAAGTCTCCTCTCTGACGTACCATGGCGTTTGCGAGGTATACGTATAATCTGACAACGCCCGCCGCGGTGGTCTAGTGGCTAAGGTACTCGGCTGCTGACCCGCAGGTCGCGGGTTCGATTCCCGGCTGCGGCGGCTGCATTTCCGATGGAGGCGGAAATGTTGTAGGCCCGTGTACTCAGATTTGGGTGCACGTTAAAGAACCCCAGGTGGTCAAAATTTCCGGAGCCCTCCACTACGGTGTTTCTCACAATCAAATGGGGATTTTGGGACGTTAAACCCCACAAATCATATAATCTGACAACGGGAGGCGCGGGTAAATTCACAACGATTACCCATCTACAACCGACCGGGGGTATTAAGGAACGATTTCGAGCAACTGTGAATATAAAATATGTGCTGTCCTAGGGAACTTGAGCCAACACGAAAAATCAAAGCCATGTTGGAGGGGAATCAAATCTGGCGGATACTATTCGCACTAGTCTATGTTCGTACTCAGGCAATGTTTCATTTTATGCTTTACTAGTTCCCTATTCATGCATAGTCACCTACTTTTAATTTTGAAAATGAAATGCTAAATATAACCGCAGAGCTGCAGTGTAGATTACCACTGAATATAATCGTTTTCTGCATAATGTGTCTAGGGTATTTTATTGCGGATTGCAAGGAAAGTGAAAAAAAAAAGCCTTGACCTGGAGCATTAGCGCACATGCTACTGCGCTGCTCACAAGCACGTACTCGGCAAACATAAGCATAAGACATGCTATATCACACGCAGGTAGGGAATCACTGCATCGATGAAAGACTAAAAAAAATGTGCTGTTTAAGAGGGCCGTAGGTGTAGAAATGTTTCTGACGTCTTCAGTGTCTGATATGACGGATATTATTCACGTGCATGCTTGTAGAAATCAAGAATGCAGTAGACAAGGCGGGGAAGCAAATCTATCCGGTCTCGTCCCAATCTGAGGTGTATTTTCAGTGCGACTCGCCAGATAGCAGAAGGGCCGACAGTCGTTTAAACGAGGTAATAAAAAGCCAACGAATAATAATAAAAAGAACCAGAGAAGGCGCAATCACGAAGTCATAAAGCACATCCACCAGCTTTCAAGAGTGTTTCTCCAGCGTGTAAGATGAGGTGCCAAACGAGGCATATCATAAAGCCAGATGTCTGGTTGATGAAATGCATTCACGGAAGGATGACGTTTGCGTCACGTTTTTGTTATCTCAGTCATGAGACATCGCTTAGACAAAATGATGGTGACACAGATAGTGACGTAATGCACCCCATGAGAATGGGATGTGCCAAATCGGGTGTACAGACTGAATCGCACCAAGTGGCGGAGCGCGTGGCTGGGGGCGCTGTTGTTGTCCGCCGCCGCTACCTCGCGTTAGCACAAGTTTTCTTTCATGCCTAAATTATAGCGGAAAGTCCTACATTAGGGATATGCTAGCTATCATGAAGGCGTGAGTACTTGTATATTTATGCAGAAAAAACCACAGTAAAAGCGGTCGGACGGGCGCTCTAGACAAGTGTAATTTCGTCTGTCAAGGTTGTAGGCAGATTTTTTATCCACGGGAGAGAGGGGGGAGCCTCTTTTGGAGATGTTAATTTCTCGCTCTGAATGTTATGGCGAAAAAAAATTTCGGTCAGGTCGGGCACAGGCCCAGGGTGCAACCCCCAACCGGGCCCGTGCCAACATCGGTGGCATTGGCCACGCCACTGCCACCGAAGTTTCCAATGGCGTATAGCCAGGGGTGGCTACACCACAGGCACCTGTCCTTGTGCCCCAAAAGTAAAGCGGAGCATGCAAGCTGTCACCAAACTACGCAAACTACGCAAAACTGCATGCTAGCCCACTCTATCAGATAAAGGGTTTGTATTTACAAACTAAGATAGTGCCTATATTTCCACTTTTAAATAAAGAAATATTTTTCTGAATACAGCTCTTGACATGCAGTTTTGCATAGTGTGCCCTGCTTTTGCGTAGTTTGGCCTTAGCTCGCGTGCTTCCTTCTTTTTTCAAGGCACCTGTGCCGCCAGATGGCCCGTTCAATAGACATGCTCTTGCAAGCACATTAAGAATGTGTATATTTTCTTAGCAAAACGTGGTAAGTGCTAGAAATGTGCACACGCTTTCGCTTGATTTGCTCGATGGGGTATAATACATCGCAAACTTTGATTCACTTTACTGACGCATTAGGTCATAGAAAATGATTGGGAAGTTGCTGTCTAAAACCAAACCGGGAGCGACCGTAATACTTCACCTAGGCGCCTATAGCGGCACACTCGCCTCGGTGTTCGATGTGCGAGGGCTACTTCCAATGATATACATAAATGCCACAATCGTATACACAACTACTACCGAAATATTACCTAAAGGTAGAATATAGCAATGAGAAAATAAACTGGCCACTGTAACGTTTACGAGGTTAGAGTGTATACCAAAAGGCGCGTTTGTAAAACGTCAAGTGTTTGGGACAATGGTGCAGTGAATAACGTGTTCTGTATCTGTTTACGGGGACCGATAGATTTTTAAGATCGACTTCCATTGATGAAACTTTTTTCTTTGCCATCTCATCACGCCCATTATTTTGACGGCATTTCGGGACAGAAATACGTCATCGAAGTCTTGGCGGACATCGGCAAAAAGCGTGTTAGTGTGGAAAAATGTCTCACGCTAGTTAAAGGATGCAACAAGGTGAATTAGACAGCAGAGATATGAAATATAATGCTACAGCATTACATCTATACGTTCTAAATCCAATTTTGCAGATGGTGTAGTATACATTACGAATCCAATTTTTCCTGTATAGACAGGAAAAATGGGATTCGAGCAGTAAAGTATATCAGAGGGAATCGCTTCCTCAACAAGGCCTCACAGCTCAGTGGCCGTGAAAACGTTAAACGTTATGTATTATGTGACAAAGAGAAGGCTTCGCCACTTTTGTTTCTTTGAAAAAAGCATGTGTTGCTAACTTTATGCGCTGTGAGCAACGAGACATTATTTACAATATAGTTTTAAACGAAATAAATATTGAGATGTCTCCATCGTTCAACCACACAGTCAGACATTAGCTGAACTGCTGGGATGTTTTGCTTTTCAGCCTTTTAAAGCTGATAAAAGTCAGTCCTGTGCATGCTTCAGAAAAATGCAAATTAAGATGAAGATAACTTGACGCCAAGTGACGACGGGAAGATACTTCTTGTTTACATTTTATACATTTGCATATTGAGCCTTTCTGCCCCAGGTGTTCGTTGTCTCTCCAGTACCATTAAGCTAGCTTTGCACCTATGACGCTGAAAGCATTTGTTGATTGATGTTTGTCATATAGGCACCGCGGTTTTACAAGCTAGCCGGGTAGAACAAAAAAAAAGGCTTCTTTTAGTTGCAAATTTCAGGGAAGTGCTGGCGAAATAATGCTTAACTGTGGTCAGCACTGCAGTTCTAAAAATTGAGTCGTCTTTCCAGACCACCCAGAGAAGTTGCAGGGTCATATATGCGAAAAGTTTATTGTCCTAAAAATGCCTTTAACTTAGAATGAGAACAAAGGGCGCATGCTCACCTTTCTCGAATTGACAGTTGAGGTGCTGAGGTGTACTAGATGGCCTGCGTTCTTCCTTGAAACTCATTGTCAAGACCTTCCGGGGTAATCTACTTATGAGCCAACACACTTATGGCCGATGGTATAAAATATGAGTTCAGAATGGCCTTGCTAAAATGGCCCGTTTCGGTGGTGGACCCTAAATACCCACAATACAGAGTATTCACTGCGCTGCGCTGCTCGTCTGATCTGACGCCCGTTATCCAACTTTCAGATTACGCTACGTTCGCAGCTGTAAACGTTTCCCACCACCGAGGCTCAAGGTGCTAGAAAGTTTCCATGGGTGGGGCACTACTGGAGTTCGAGACTCGCGTCCCATCATCTTTCCCTCCTGCTCACTCTTTCTCCTCAAGATTTCCTCCTCTCTCTCTGCTCCGTCAATGCTTACACTCTGAGGATAGAAAAGCCGCGTGTCGGCAGGACGCCGACGACACGGAGCAGTTTTTGAAGTGCCTCCCGATAACAGCTTGGAGGAGGTAGGCATGGCTCGATGGTGGATCTCTGTGAGAGACCGATCATCGCGTCTGAAAGAACGACTTGAGAAGGAGGAGCAGGGCTGTCGATATCGATAGGCATGGCGTTGTTGTTCCCGCTTTCGCAGACTGAACTCGAGGGAGACATGATTGCGTCACAGTAGCTCCTTCTACTGCTCAATCACACCAATAAGCAACGGAGGGGCGGCCGAGTTGGTATCGAGTCACCGACGTTAACTGCACCAGTTCTCCAGAAGCATACATAATTCACCGCTGGCAATGAAAATTATACTGATCGCGAATTTCTCATTATTGAAGGCAGAAGGTTGGGGAAACGAATAGAACTCTGACGTCTGAAAGGGCCTGTGTGCATAATGTGTATAAGTTGTAAGGCGTCGGGCTGTGGAAGGCGTGTAAACACCCCGGAGACAAGACAAGGACACCAACCAACACGTCTTTACTTTTCAAAAGCTCAGCCGGGACTACCAGTGAGCGACCGCTTAGCGCGAGGCGCGAGGGCGCCTTCATTCTTCGTTTTCTTTTACCGAGCGCTATCACACAGTGGAATGTTTAGCACAACAGGTGCCTCATCCAACAAATGTTAATTATTAAAGAAACTGCGCTACAGTTACTGCGAAATACGAAGTTAAAGGGAGACACGAAACGAAGTGGACAGTACAAGTGCAAACTATCAACTCCATTTATTGATTTAAAAATAAAAGCATCGGCTTGAGGAAGAAAAAAAAAACGATTTCCCGGAAAGACTTTCACATATCGGACCAGCAAAACGCATGCGACAGTTCAAGCTCTGTTCTACTAACCCCGACGAAAAACAAATTTGTCAAAAACCAGATATAGCAGTTTAAATTAGCATAGTCGGAAAAGAATTTTAAGTCTTCGCCACACCTAGGATTCATAATTACCCCACGAGAGCATGGAGACAGTCAGCGAAATCGCCCCCAACTCCCACTTTCATCGAAAAGCGAGTTTTCCTTTTCCTGAACGTCTTCTTTCTTCCAAGCTTTTCTTTTCCCCAGCAAACTCAGATGATAGTTTGCGCCTATAGGGTCCACTTGGTATCGTGTCTCCCCTCTATGTTCATATTTTATGGTATAGGTAGCTCAGTTTTTTAATAACAAAAAACCAACTAGCCCAATGCCTCACTTTGCTAACAAATGTTCGCAGGTGAGCTGTACGAGTGAAACTTGAGTGTCTGGAGAATTGAAGTGTGCCCATCTGAATAGAGTCTTTGTGGGAAAATCAAAGTATTCTTTCTATTGAAGGAATGGGTAGGCTGTAATGTATATTTAAAATTTTTCATTCATAATATATTTAAAATACAAAATTTTCATTAGCTAATTCACGTTGGTATGTGGATTGAAGTATATGAGCCTTTTTTATTCGCCCTTTACATTTACTTTGTGCATTTTTCATGTATCGCTGCTTGCAGGCCAATGTAATCACCATTTTTTTTGCATCAGTAGCTTATTATGACGTTACGACGAAGAGAACTGCCGTATGCATGTTTTATATATCTGTACTTTTTGTTCTTCTGAATTATACAGGCATGTGCGATTGTTTACCAAGCCTGGGGGTACTGACACTGTCAAGCCTGATATGAGGTTTTTTTGTATGCACCCATCAAGCGTCACTGAGCAGAATTGACACTCAAATAAACTGTTATTTGATTGATTCATTGATTAGGTTAGTGGTTATTCTATTGAGTGATTAACAGGTTGACTAACTGTTTGATCGGTTCATTGATTGATTCACAGATTTGTGCTCAATCAGAATTTCTTCTGCATCAAACGATTGATGACAATCACCACGACACTCCGTGAAGGAAGTTGTATTTGCAAGGGGACTTCAGATGAAGGGCGATAACTCCCCAATAAAAATCTAGTGTTTTTTTTGTACAAGCCAGCTTGCAAGTCTTCATGTACACAATAAATTGTTATATAGGGCAGCCTACGCTTAGACTCAGTCCTCTGTGGCCACGCACTGATTCGTTCTATGGTGTTTGGATATACCAAAGAGTTGCTCGCATCCTTCCACGAGATATAGGTCGTTTTAGCAAAGAATATTTCACGTCACTAAGAACACAGCGAGAGGAACGTGCATGTGAGGGCAGCTATACATGCATGGGGTGTTTTTTCTTACTGTGTATGTAAAAATTGTGTAAACATGACGTAGCAGGGAGGTATACGACAGTACTGTAGTAGCACCGTTGGAAGTATATGGAGAGTACGTATATCAAGATGGATAAATTTGATAGAAACTGCACGTTTTTGGGGACTCTCGCCATTGGTTTCAAGAGAGAATTATTTTAGTGGGGAGCTGGAGAGGTTTGCCTGGTTTATCACCTGAGAGACTACTCCAGGTGCCGGGTCATGACAATGATATATAAAATGATAAACACACAACACATACAGTTACATACACGCATAACAGTCACATAACACATACAATCACTTACACGCACTGCACTATAAACAAGCATTAGTATCAGTAGTATTAGTGCTTAGTGTACAAGACTGATGTCAGCGCCTTCTGTTGCCGATAGATGTGGAGGGGAAGCCGATTGAAGCCGAAGTGATATCATAAGCTCTGTTAAGGTCCTTGTGGGCGAAACGGTCTGCCCACGTTACTGAGCAGATTGAATGCTAGCTTCACTTCGCTGATATCATTGCCTGTTGCATCGAGAAAGTTTTCTCCTCGAAATATCGCAAATGACGATACTAATGCTTACACAAACTCCATTTCTAAAAGGGTTCTAACAGAATAATAACATAAAAAATCTGCCAAGTTATGGTAATTGCCCAACTATGCTAACATGGTTAGCCATAACTCGGCAGATCGCGCGCTGCAGTGCATGACTGGTAATTACAGGCTCTCTTTACCCAACAGTATCCGCTACGTTTTAAGAGGTCTCCAAAACTGACAAGCCAGTGGGTCCAACTATCAACACCCGTCGTGTGTAATGCTCGACCACATCCGCACACAAAACGGTGACGCACTTCTGGTTGTCCGCATTAAGGAGTGCTTTCGAAGACGAAACGGGAAAACTGTGTTGCCAAAAAGAAAGCTTCCGACGCGTGTGCCGTGGCCACGAAATCGCGAGCAGCTACCGAAAAGTGTACTGTGGGCACAAACGCAGAAAAATAGTAATGGCGGCTATGACGTCACCATAACTTGTATCGGCCACGGCCGCTCTAGAGGCGCGCGCTAGCTCCTGCCAGACCACCCCTGTATCGGCCCTAGACTTTCCTAAAATCAACGAGCGAGGAAGCTGGCGTTGCGATTGTTCAGCCACCATGGAAAATATGGGTAATACACAGATTTGCCTAGTCTTCGAGCTCTCGGTTTTGAACGCACTTGTGGCTTTGTTTACTGCCGTGTTTTGGTTTTGTTTCGAATGAAAGAATGGAACATTGTAAACTTATTGAGCCGAATTTAATTGGTGAGTTTAAAAAGGCTAAGGTGTTGAAGCGTAACAGCTAAATTTTTGCTGAACTTTGCATCACGGCAAAGCGAATTCTGGCCCCGAGAAATTGAAACGAAGCCGAACGAAAGAAGACTGGCAAATTTGTGTACAACGCATCTGGCTGAAGCGCCGCACTTTGGAGCATAGACATTATCGCCAGAGTTCCATCTAGTAAGTATTGTTTCCCAGATTGCAGGAAAGTCTATGGTATTGGCTACATAATGGTGACGTGGGGAAAATAAGGAGCGTCACCATCGAGCCACTTTCCAGGGTTTCTCTGCCACGAGGTGTGGCGTGTCCCGCTTGATCACGCACGCAAGCTTCAATGCCCATATAAAATACCTTCAAAGTCTTATTAGTTGTTTATATTTTGAGGATGATATGGACATGTCCACGAGATTCAACCCCATGGTGTCATATCGCCCGCGACATTCTGCGTCAGTACCCCGTTACTTTGGTGCAAACAACAGCACTTTCTAAAGCTCACAACCTCTTGTAACTCCTCCACGCATGCCTTTCAGATTGCGTAATTGGCTAAGCTTCAAGTGCATTTTTCATAATACTCGCGCGATAAGTTCGCCTGCTTTACGTTGTGCCGTAGACTATACTAGTAAAAAAAAAAGACACTAGTTGAATTATCCTATGAATTTAGACTGATTGACACTACAGGTACTGTAGTAAATAGAACACATGAATTATGCAAGGAATGCGATGCAAGTTCAAAATTGTAGTGTGTATAAATGAATGGTTTGTTCGTATAGATGCCGTTTTGTCGCCCAAAACCTGGGGCATAGAAAAACTGGGAAGATAAAATGTCTTCAATTGATGCTCCTTGAGCCGTGTTAGTTTATCAGTATGTTTTGACCTGCTTGGTAATCTATGACCCGTTCCGTCTTCTAAAAAATAGAACGAAGGAAGGTTTACGTCCAAAAAGTGTAAAATATCGGGTCACCACATGTCGTCTGTCCACTGATAAGAATTTATCCCGAGTGCCCCAGAGATAGCTCGTCAGTGTTGAACACTTGAACGACGCTCCAGTCGTTCGTCGTTCCTTCTTTCTTTTGCTTAGTGGCACAAAGTTCATAGACCATTCATCTTGGACACGGGTAGGCATGTCGCGTAGTAATTGGAAGTTTCAGTCAATGAGTATTGCGTAGTGTGTAAACGCAAATATTGGCCTTAAATTAGATGAAACCCCAGTAAGCACAACCGCTGTGGGAGGCTTTTGGGGGCTATAAGAAATACAAGGTTATGGGAAGCGTCGTCAAGGATAGATTGACGGAGTCTGAATCCACCGAAGTTGGTTTAAGTGAGGCTC